GTCTTGGCCAATGGTGGGCCCAAGGCTTTAGCCTGGGCGTTCCATTCGGCCACTACAGCCGAGGCCTTTTCGACGTCTGTTGGCTTTCCTGGGCTCCGGGGCCGGCCCCGTAGCCTCCGGAACCTTCGTTGGAGCCTGTTGCAAGCCCCTTGGATGATTTCCTTTGGTGGGCGTCTCGGGGCCTCTGGGCCTAGCCCGGCCTGTAGGGTAGGCTCGTTGAGCCGGCCTTCGAAGTCGGCCAGCCTCTTGTTAAGGTAGAGGTCTAGGGGAGGGATCCAAGTTTCCGTCTCGAGGTTCCGTATAGGGGTGGCCTTGTAGGCTCCGGTTACGATGCGTAGGCTTCGGTTCTGGGCCTTTGCTAGGTCCCTGGCTAGGCCTTGTGGTGGGCCGTTGAGTGTTGTAGGCTTGTGGAAGCTGGATGCCCCATAGGCTATTGCGCTACGAATGCACTTGGTATAGACCTCTCTGGCCCTGATTAGCCCCGGGCCCCAGGTCTTGGCTGCTATCCTTGATAGGGCAAAGTCTTGGGTTCTTAGCTTGGTAGCTATGCTGGCTCCGTGGGCCTTCCAAGAAAGCCTCCAGTCGAGCCAGACCCCTAGGAACCGGGCTGAAGCCGTTGGTTTAACCGTAGTGTGGTCATGAGGGTGGCCCGGTTTGGCTAGTCGTAGTGGTTCAGACCACTGTTTACGGCCTTTGTTGAAGTGGATCAGCTCTGACTTGGCCCCATTGAATTCCATTCCGTAGGATTTAGCCCACTGTAGACATGTAGCCCAGGCTTGTTCCAGTTGCCGGCAGTTGATATAGGGGTCCCTTCCAAAAGCTAGGAGGTTGGTGTCGTCTGCGAATCCCACTAAGCTGACCAGAGGGTGCTTTTCCTTTAGTACTTTATATAGCGAGGCTATATATAGTATAAAGAGGATTGGTGATAGTGGCGATCCTTGTGGCACTCCAGCTCGGATGTCGATTTCCGGGGCAAGTTGGCCGTCGAATAGGAGTGTGGCCTTCCGGCCCGTTAGCCACGACCGTAGCCAACCTACAAGCCACTGCGGGAGCCCGAGGTCCCGGACTGTAGCCAGTAACCGGGTATGATTTACCCGGTCGAAGGCCCCTGTGAGATCTAACTGCAATAGGGAAGCCGTAGCGCGTTGTCTCCAGGCCTCTTGGATCTGGGCTACCACAAGCCGAATGGCTAGGTCTGTTGACCTATATTCTCGGTTACCCATCTGCTCGTCGGGTAATAGGCCGTAGGCTTCGGCTGCCTCTGTGATTCTTTTGGTAACCACTATTTCCACTACCTTGCCAATGGTAGGAAGGAGCGAAATAGGCCTATAGCCTCCGGGGGTAAGGTAGTCAGCTGGGGTTTTACCAGGCTTTGGGAGCACTATAGCTATAGCCTCCTTTAGCCTGGCTGGCACCCATTGTAGTTCGAGGCATCTCTGGGTGAGTAGTGCGAGGATCCTGTACAATGGCCTACCACAGGCCTTCAATAGGCCTATAGGGAGGTAGTCGTTACCTGGGGCCTTCCAGGGAGCGGCCCGGGCAATGGCATCTTGTATGTCCCTAGCACTAACCACCTGGCTTATTGGGATCTTCGGTTCCCACGGCTGGGAAAAGGTGGGATCTTGGATGTTGGAGAGGTCAGCTGGCGGGCTTGGAAAGAAACGGTTGGCCAGGGCCTGGGCCTTCTGGGTATGGGTGGTATAGCCGTTGATGGCCGGGAGCCTAGGGGGGCTAGTAGGCTGGAAGCTCTTGCAACGAGCCCACCGTTCTAGGCTCCAAAGGAGTGATTCGTTATGACTGGCTTCCTGTAGGGTAGACCTCCAGGTCCTTGTTCTAGCCTGTCGTATAGCCCTTGAAAGGTCCCGGAGTCTCTGATTTAGCTGGGCCTTGTTATAGGCTGTAGGTGCGGCTTTAGCCATACGTTCGGCCTCCCGGGCCCCCTGGACCTTTTGTTGCACCTCGTTCGTCCACCAGGGGGCTTGAAATCCATTGTTAGGCTTCCTTCGGGGGGTGCTAGCGTTGGCAATCCTTGTAAGTTCTTCGACAAGCCAGTCGAATGCCTTATCTAGGCCTTCTACTGACTGGGTACGGCTCTGTAGGCCCTGCGGGCCAGGGTTATCTAGCCCGCAGAGGCCTGGTAAGAGGGCTGCTTCGGCCTTTACCCTCTTTTTATCCATCTTTTTCCAGGACCAACCAGGGGGGGGTGGGGCTATAGGGGGGTGTTCGAGGTAGACCTCTACTACTTGGGGGTAGTGGTCGGAATCTCCCCTTTCTTTAATACCGTAGTAGGAGCAGGCAAGGTCCGTAGAGGCCCAGATTAGGTCGATAGTCGATGGGCGCCCCCGTTGCCTACCCTGTGGTTCCCTAGTTATAGTGCCCTTGGGGGTTACTAGCCTAAGGTCCCAAGAGGTGGCTAACTGGAGCAGGTTGTTGGCTTCGTTATCGTAGCGTTCGTAGTAGTCCCAGGCTGGGTGTTGAAGGTTGAAGTCCCCTGTAAGTATTACTTGGCTAGAGGGTCGGGGGTATTGTTGCAAAAGAGTAGCCGGTATTGTCTTGATTGCCGGGGGGTTATAGACCGACCAGACCTCGACCCCCTGGCTACCTTCATAGCCTGCGAACCGAACCCAGCACCAATGTTCAGCTACCCCATAGTCCCATTGGCTAAGGTCAATTGTCTTCTTAACCAGTATAGCCGCCCGACCACTAGGTTGATAGACTAGGTGGTACTGGCTACGTCGAGGGCAGTAGGTAGACTTAGTTTGGTGGTTGATCCACGGGTCCTGTATAGCTAGGACGTCGAACTTGGCCTCCTCTACTAAGATTTCTAGTGGTTGCTTGATGCCTCCGGTATTCCATTGTAGTATGGTAACTACCATGTAGTACTAGAGGGTTGGCTGGCTAGGTGGTCGGCTGGCTGGCTGGCTAGGTGGTTGGTTGGCTGGCTAGTTGGGTCGTTCTGGTTTGTAGCTTGGTTTGTAGCCTGGCTTATAGCCTGGCTAGTAGGCTGGGAGATGGATAGTCGGAGCTGCTTGGGATCTTGTTGGGCCTTTGTTGGCCTGCCCCGTGGTCGTTTTCTAGAAGGGCCTATATCTTGGTCGTCGTGGCTTAGAGAGAGGGAGCCAAAGATAGGGGTTGTGGTTGCGGTTGTAGGGTAGGTTGTTCGGGTAAAGTCGAGGTCGAAGGTTGGTTGTTGTAGCTTGGAAGTAGTTGATTCGAAGGTTCTAGGCCTGTGTTGATAGGCCTCCTTAGCTATAGCCCGTACTCGGAGCCGTTCTGGGCACTGCTTGTCCCTGGCCGAGTGGTGACCCCCGCAGGCTGGGCATCTAAACTGGCCTGTAGTATAGGTAGGGCATTGCTCTTCGCCTTCCTTACCACCATGCCCATGGGTTCCAGCGCCGCAACGGGGGCAAAGGGGGTCCTTTCTGCAGTAGCGAGCTATATGGCCCCACTTCCAGCACTTAAAGCACTGCGTTGGCCGTAGCGGAGCCCAGTATGGCTCGCAGCTAAAGAGCTGAGCCCGGTATAGGACCCCTAGGTCACAGGCCTTTTTAGCCTCCTCCTGGCTAGTAAAGGCTATAACTACAGGGACCCTAGTGAAGTCTGGGTTATGGGGGTACTGGAAGATGATCTTTTCCACTGCCTGTAGCCTGGCCTCTTCTTGAAAACTAGCCTCTGTAGCCCCCTGGAGGTCAGCCTTCCGTAGACCCTTGACTACCACTCCATAGGTCCGCCGGGCTTCCTTTGCCTGGCTTCCGAAGGCCCGTTGAATCCAGTCGTGGTTGGTAGAGTGCCATTGCTTGGTATCCGGGTTGTTGAAGGTAACTACTATATCTCCGCTAGGTAGTTTCCGGGCTGCAATAGCCCCTTGTCGGCTAGAGGCCCCGTTAACGGCTTGAATGATTTCTAGGGGGGTCCTCTTGGCTAGGTCGGGTGATAGATGGCCCCCGCGAACAAGGACCTCGCAGTTCTGCTTGGCTGGGATAACCTTGGCTGGCTGGGCTATAGTGGCTTGTGGGGGTTCCCGAACTATGTCAGCCCAGGTCCGAGTAGCCTGGGCCTGCCCTGATTTAGTTTCTCTTAGTGCCGCTCGCACCTCTTCGGCTACTACCTTTCGTAGGGTAGGTAGGTTCAACGCCGTAGCCGTAGCCTTAGCCTGGGGGGGCGGTGTGATGGCTTGCTGGTAGGCTTGTTGGTAAGCTCGTTGAATCTCCATTGCAAGTGCCCGGGCCTTGCCCCTATCCTCGGGGACCAGGGCAAGTAGGTCGTTGACAAGCCTAGTAATGTGCTCATATGTATGTAGATGGCTAGTAGACTTGGTTGTTCTGGCCGGCTTGGTTATAGTAGGTAGGGTCTTCTGGCTTGCATGTTGGCTTGCATGTAGCCCCGGGGGGGCAGGGGGGGTTTCCCCCATCTCAATGTCAGGTGCCGGATCCGGAACGTCGTTCATTTTCAGCTCTTCCTCGTAGGGTGGGGCCTGTGGGGGCCTATAGGGTGGGTAGCGTAGAGGAGTGTGGGGGATCGTTGATAGGGTGGGCCGTTCGGGAGTAACCGGGTCCGGTAGGGTAGGTGGTCCGGGAATAACCGGTTGGTCTGTGCGTAGGGAAAAATCTTGCCTGACGGTCGGGTGCCCGTAACACAACGGCTACTTCAATGGCCTGTTGCGGCCGCGCAAGGACGGCCGCGCAAGTGCAACCAGTACCGTTAGATAGAGCTCGTCGAGGCGGTTAGAATAATATATGTTTCGAAGAGTTTGCCGCCCTTGCGGGCAAGCAGCGATCAAGTGGAAAAGAAAGAAGTCTTTTTACTCTTACTGCATTATATATCTATTAGCATAACTAACTGTAGTTATACATGCTATTGTATAGATAGATGCTCGATATAGTTCTATTACCTTGCTTAGCTACCATATAGTAACCCCCTTAGGTGCCGTCCCTTACCTATAAACTCTTTATAAATCCAACAATTTCCTATATACTAGCACTATATAATTCGGAAATAGCCTATCTAAATAACACTATACTTCTATATATCACTCCTAGGTTGACGCTCCTAATAGCGTCTACCCCTGCTAAATATAGCTTTCGATAATATATAATACCCTTATCCCTTAGTAGATCGAGCTTATCAACCCTAATAATATACGGCGGCAAACCTCAATATATCTCTATAGTCGTATAGTATAGAAAAGCTATCGGATGGGTCTAGTCCTAGATATTTAGTATATAATAGCTTTATATAGCGCCCGCACCTATAGTATCGAATATATATCTGTCGTTTGCAAGCCGGCTCGGAAATTCTTTCGCTATTCTTTCAATAAGCCAGCCGTATATATTATAGACATTTGGCAAGTAGGTATAGGCCCTATTAATATCCTTGATCTAGCCTTCCTAGTTTGCTTTCAACGCTATTGTAAGATAAAGATTCGCGCTATTACTTTTACCCTCTAAGATGATTTTGCCAATACCAAGCTTATCCTTATATAACGCGATATACCTAATACCTTCTATATAATTGTTTAACCCTGCCGGGAAAGGATTATATTTGGTTTCCAACTAGGTATTTCTAAAATTAATAGCGATAGATACTATACCTTATTAGGCGAGATCGGTAAGCCAGCGAATATTGCTAGGTCGTAATATATTAAGAGTCGTTATACCTCCGCCATATATTGCTATAGAAGTTAGCTTTTGAACCTCCTTTTATTTCTGTCGAAATAGTTATAAGCTATACTAATTATAGACAATATACGGTAGAACCTAGTCCTTTGTCCTAGACTTCCGAAATATATATAACTTGATATTATTCCCGTCAACCCCCTATATAACGTATATTTTATAGTCGACTAGTGGTTTGTTAACGTCCTTTGCTAGGTCGTTCGGTATTGTAGCGAAGCCTTCTAAAAAGCCGTAGTATTAGGCTTTTATTTCCTTTGTCAATTGCTCGAAGAGCGAGTTCTCATTAGCAATGCTAATTGGAAGGTTGTTCTCCTATCCTTATATAGCTAGGGCCTTTACCAACTTGGGATTAAAACGTAGATCCGTCATAGGAGAGAGTATTATATCTCTAATTCGGCCCTCGGGCTAGAATAAGTATAGACCTAGCATCCTGCTATCTAAAGGGTTGACCTTTCTATGGCCTAGATGGCTTCGGTTATATTACGTAGAAAAGCAAAAGGGTGGAAGTCTATGCCAGCCAAAATGGGTCGCTAACTTATTATATATTCTAGCGGGTACTTGTAGGAAGCACGAATCTTACGCGCTTATATGTTCTAGGATTACGTATATGCACTATACTTCTAGCCTAGTGGTTCGCCGGATAGAGGGGTAACGCCTTAGAGAACTAGGGTTTCTTGGCCTTGTTACCTATGTAATCTGTAAGAACCGGGTATATCTACCATCCGTTCTAATAGGTTCCCTAACGGGAGCCGGTTTCCGTTTTAGTTCTGATATAATCTCTGTCCTACTAGGTATTAGCTCCCTAATATAATAATCAGCAATTTATTAAATAATCTAGTTAAGCTAATAGCTATAATAGCCTGTCTAATCTAATATAACTACCTGATATTGATAGTCTAGGTAACTATTATCGATTAGTCGATACAAACGTTCTGCTTACGCTATAATAATAAGGTAGTACTATATTAATAACTTATTATATTTAACCTCGCTTACTCTAATTGCTATGGCCATTGTTATATATATAATATACTGCACCTAGTATATATATATATAATTTGTTAAGCAGCGGTTCGACAAATTTCTTTTTGGGGGGTCCAACCAACTTATATTGTCGCTACTATAGCTACGATTATCTGATTCTTCGAAATGTTATATTTATTATGTCTTTGGATATATACGCTGTCTTAGATACTTTCTCTGATATCAAAAACCGCACCGATCAGTTCATTATTACGAACAATCTCGACAGCTACTCTGCTAAGTTCCTTCCGAGATCTAAGGAAATCGCAGCTATATTTTATAATGCCCTTAAGCAGCTAGATTGCCTAATTCGGTCGGTAGCACCTAGAATAAAGCTTAAACGTATCTAGCCTATAGCAGAGCATAAGAGACTAGTAGGCTATATATATCGTATCTTAGAGAGTAAAGCGGGCTTAATTATAGACGACGGCGATCTCCTGACTCGTACTTCTAAACCTTGTCCTAACGGCGACGTTAGTTCCTAATTAGAGGGCCTCTTATACGATAGACCTGCCTAGGATATAGAGATCAAGCTTATATAAACGGTTGGGCAGAACTATAGCAAATGCCTCTCTAGCGAGATCAATACCGTAGAGTTGCTCTTTGAATCCCCGGAAAACTGTTCGCTCTTAGACAAGCTCTATACTATTTCAGACACGATAAGCAGCCTTCTACGGCCGTTGGAAGCTTTTATCTAAGAGATAGTCAGCGGCTAGTTAGTACGAGGCTAGCCTTTGCGAATCCTTGAAATAGGAGCCGGGATAGGCAGAATAACCTTATTACTATTACCGGCTTTAGCTTGTCTGGGTGTTTCTACGGTATATACTATAACCGACATTAGTTCGAGCTTAGTAGTATAGGTATCCTTGACTTTTAAGGGGTACCTATTTATAGAGTTCAAGGTTATCGACATTAAGAAGGCACTGCTATAGGCACTATAAAGAAGCCAATATATTATCCTAGGCTCGAACGTCGTCTATACTACGGCAGATGTCCCGTCTTTATTAAAGAATATTTATAAGATTCTATATCCAGATAGGTTTTTTATCTTCTATAAGTTAACAACGCAAATGCTATAGGCTAATATAGTTTTCGGTCTATTTAAAGGCTAGTGGCGATTTAATAACGGGCGATAGTACGCTTTGTAATTACTATAGGCTTAGGCAAAGATATTAGAAGCGGCTGGATATAGTTATATAGACTAGACCGACGGATCCCGCCCGGAAATAAAGCTGCAAAGTCTAATCCTAGGGATAGCTACTAACCCGGAGTAGATTCTTATTTATAGAGATTATAGATAGAGATAAGGTATACCGTATTAGGTAGAATAGGAGGTTAGCGAAGCCATAAGATAGGATTAGTTAATAGGAACTATTTTAAACTTATTGTATCGCGGCCAGCTTGCTGCCTCGCGCTATCACTTAGTGAATACCTTATATAGTAATATATTCACCCTATACCAGCTCTGCCGTTGCTATAGTCAGGGTCTAAAAGTCTTTATACACTCCAATTAATTAAACGCGAGTTTCTATATGTCGCGATAGCCCTCTACTCTTGCAACTCCAATAACTTAACGCTATAAAGCTTAATTTAGCTGATTTCAAAGCTAAATTGATAGAAAATCGCAGCTATAATAGGGAATTATCACCAGTAGCTTATATAGCTATATGCTTTGCTATAGTTTATAGCAAAAGTTATTAGGCTATAGTAGAGGTATTTAGTATCTCTATTAGCGCTATATAAGAATGTGTCACGAATTAACCAACGGCAGGCTGCAGGGCAGACGGCCGTATGTGGGGACGTAGGGGCGTCCCGAGCCAATCATTGGGACAACTAGGCGGACCAGTTAGAGATAGGCAAAGGTGCTAAGGTGCTAGTGTTGCTAAGCACTCTGCAGGATGTAAGCGATCAGAGTGATCAGGGGCATATTACAATGAGCACCTGGGTGCTTATCCGAATCGAAGCACTAAGCACCTAAGAAGATAGCTAGTATAGTCACTCGTCCTGGAGGACTCTGGGAGTTCTCCAGTGAGCAATACAAGCAGTAAGGTAGCCCTATATTACTATGCAGATATTGCGACTTGCATTGTTATGAACCTTTTGGCTTCACCGAGACCTATAGTCCGACTAGCAGATACCTTCGACCGGCGAACCCTTTCAGAGGCAGGACTGCCTGTAGTTTCGTTACAGAATGCCTTCGATATTGGAAACTTAATAAGCCTTTGATTCGAACCCTCGAAAGGGCTGTCTTTAGAAGCTTTCGCGATTAGAGAAGCAGTATATCCTGTCTTTTTTAAAGAGAAACTAGAATCTTGCTAAAAAGGCTCTAATAGTAGCTATAGGGTCTAAAAGTCTCCTATTCGACGATCTATCGATGCCTCTATACTTATAACCTATATAAATAGAAAGCAAAGAATAAAATACCTATCTTAGAAAAAAGATACCTAAAAGAGATAATGTATCTTATAAGCAAGCTGGCTATATAAGCGAGCCGGCTACTTTACCTGTAACGTGTCACTTCCGCGCTTAAAACTAGATTTTCTTTACAACCTAGTATATCTTCTTCTTTATATAAGGCTAGGATAAACCTAGCCCTCGAAGCGATATAAAAAGACTAAAAACTAAGCATAAGGGCTATAGCAAAGTACTACAATGTTCGACGAACAACCTTGCAAGACCGACTAGTGGGCCGGCCTATACGACGCAATACTACGGCCAGCTCGCACCGGCTTACCGATTCCGAAGAGAAGGCTCTTGTTCAGTATATAATTAAGCTATCTAAGCGAGCTTTTCCGCCGAGACTACGTAGTATAGAAGATATGGCCAACCAACTGCTACGCGTATACGATGCGCCCCCTATCGGCAAGCTCTAGGCGTATAACTTTGTCAAATACCAGCTAGAGCTCCGGACGTATTATACGTATAGATACGACTACCAAAGGGCCAAGTGCGAGGATTCAAAGGTTATTGGCGAATGGTTTGCCCTTGTGCGGAATGTTAAGGCCGAGTATGGCATTATAAATAATGATATCTACAACTTCGATGAGACTAGGTTTATAATAGGCATTATCTTCCCGGGTATGGTGGTTACAACCTCGGATGGCCATGGCAAGGCGAAGCTAGCCTAGCCTAGCAACCGCGAATGGGCGACCATAATCCAAGGCATCAATGCCCTTGGCTGGGCTATCTCTCCGTTTATTATCTTAGCGGCGCAGTACCACCTCGCCAACTGGTATACTGAGTGTAACCTCCCGGCCGACTGGCGTATTGTAACCACCGACAATAGCTGGACTACCAATGCGGTAGGCCTAGATTGGATCAAGCACTTCGACTACCATATAGCACCTCGGACAAAGGGTAAATACCAGTTGTTGATTCTCGATGGCCACGAAAGCCACTACTCGACTGAGTTCGAGCTCTACTGCCAGCAGAACAACATTATTACACTCTATATG